CATAAACACAGTTGGCCTTCATGTGCAGGACTTTGACTAAATTAATCATGACTGTTTTAGAAGCTGGTTGTACCTTCCAAGTTTCTATTAMAAAATACAGTTTCAAATGTTAAACAACTTTTCTGGGTTTCTTAGCTAATACAAATCCACAACACAGAAATTCCAAATATAACTAAGTAGTCCTCTGCAATTTTTCAATGCCTRCAGGCTTTTGTAGTTCTGTGGATTTGCTTTAATCTGTTGCTAGGAACATTGCACATTGCTCTAAACAGACAGCCAGTCTGAGAAATTTAGCGTGAATGACATAAGTGTTTCTTTTATCCAGGTCAGAAGATGGTGTGAGATGGTATGGGAGGTCAGGGAAGGGAAATGGAGGGAATTCCAGGACAAAGAAATCAACTAGAGGAATGGGAAGTGAAAAAAGTAAGAATCTACAGACCTAATAACAAAACAAAAAACAAACAACCTTTCCAACTGGAGCCCTCCTGCTCCCCACCAAGTTGCATCCTTGATAGCTTTTGGAATCAGTTCCATCTAATCTGATAACTCTGAAGGACACATGCAAAGCTGATGGCTTCTCATTCCATTGTCTCACCATTGGGAATCATAGACCAGATACCTTCGGATACCACAGGGAGTGACCCCACTTTGAGACCTCATTCAAATGTCAGATTGAGGAATCCGGAAAGTTAAGAGCAAGAAAAGTCCACCCCCCCCCCTCCCCATACTTGTCTGCTCACAGCATGGAACACAGGCAGGCATCAGCTTTGAAATTAAATAGGAAGTTTGTGATTTGCATATATATCATTTTTGTTTGGCCCTTGGGATTCTGAAAAGCATAGGGGATACTGGAATTGATGGTATAGAGAAATTTCCACTTTTGACCCTTTCCTTCTGCTATGGAGATAGCTATGATTGTCACCAAGCTGAAGTCCCTCTCCAGCAGCAAAGAGCCTTTCTACCCTTGCTCACAGCTGCTTAATGGTAAGGTGAGTTTGGCATAGTAAGTACACCAAAGCCTTCCGACATGCTTTTAATTTCATATTCTACATCTTTGGCACTTTTAGAATTTGTTTTGGTATAAGGAAGAAATCTTTTTAACTCTTTTATAAATCACTATCTAGTTGTTCCAATACCCAGTACATCTTATTGACTCATTAATCCTTCTCCCACAGTTTTGAAGTTATGAATTTTTATGCACTGAATTCTAGTGGGGCTTTCTAATAACTGGAATGGAAAGTCTAGGAAGAGTAAAACAATTTTATTTCCCCTGAAACACCATATACATGTTTTTTTTTTTTCCTTTTTTAATTGTTCAACAAATAAATAGAAGAAATATAAGGGGGAGAAGTCATGCTTTCTCTTTCAGGAGAGCAGATATTAATCTATTCTACAATTAATCTCTTCTACTGCTTAAAAACTCTTTAATACCTGTGTGCATTGTTGCTTAGTTGAGAAGTAAGGACATTGCAGACGACACTTCTGCTGGTTCAGCTGAAAACTGAATTGCTACTCAATTTATGTATTTCTCTTGACACATTTTATGTTTGCTAATAAAGGCACAGGCTGGACATGAATATTTTTACGTGATAGAGATTCAGCTTTTGTTGGAGCAAAATAATTACCACAATTTTACTCTTCTTCTTTGAATTTATTATGAAAATCAGACTTAAAACAATGTTAAAAGGTTCTTAGGGAATCTGCAGAAAATCTGTCAATGTTTGATTGATTTATTCATTTATTTGTTTACTTGACAATTATTTATTGGGAAAACTATTATGTGCCAAAAGAGGGTTCCAACCAAAGGTGAATGATGAATCTGCAAAGAGATAATTTCTTTAATAATTCTAGCCTAATTAGTGTGCTTACTAGACTTGAATGTGGAAGCATTTATTGTTAGACTCTAAATCAAATAGTAAGTCATTGTACAGGGGAAGTAAATGTCCTGAGCTTATTTAGTAAAGAGGATTCATTTCTTTTTAACCTTTTTGGTTGGTTTAAAGTATTGGATTTAAAAAACAAACAAACAAACAAAAAACAAGCAAAAAACTTTTCTGCAGTTAACTGTATTAAGGGGCAAATTTGTTCTCAGAAAATTATTGTCTACGAAGGACTAATCAGGAGAGCATCACCATTGGCAAAATGGTACTTAGTAGTCAGTCTATTTCTGTATGGGTGCATTAGTCTGTACTAATCATGCCTTTTAATCTTCTTATCTCTTATGCTTTGACATCAGGGTCCTGGTGACACTAGAGAGATTGGCCTTCCCAGGGTGAACCCCATACCTGGAGGCAGCAAGCTCCCCTCAACACCTGACTTTCACATGCAAATCAWTCAATCCAGAACATATTTTCCAACCATATTGCTCCCATACTAGGCTTTATTCATTTGCTGCATCCCTAGGGCCAAATACCAGACAATTACAGATAGCTTCTAACTCCAGAGCTCACTGGACTTATCCAAACTGCCCACTTCTGAACTACTTACTTCCTCTTGTCTGTTCCTTCATGTGCAAACCAAAAGGTTCTTGCCTTTGTTTTCCACTGACTCTCTACCTCCTGACTGACTTTGGAGCTTCTCTATGTGGTCCCTGATTGGTGTATCTCTTCTTCTTGGGAACTTAAGAATGACAAACTGCCGCCTTTTCAAGAATAATCATCTGTTGGCATCGCCATATGGAATAAACAAAACTTACCATTTGAAAACATAGTTCTTACATGAATTTAGAAAGAGAGGAGACACTTCTTTATAACTACAAAATAACCCCTTTCCACATTGTCACATTCTGTTGAATTACGTCAAATGAAACCCCATTCCAAAAGAGAATAAAAGTTGAGGAAGAGACAGCTTCCCATTTGTTATATACTTTAATATCAAAATGCTCAGAGTATGCTGATCTTTAAAATATTCAATCAGAAGAGAGCATTAAGAAGTTTATTTTTATCAATTTCAATATATTGTAATAGAATTCTTAGAAATTCCCTTGGCAAGAGGTAGTTATTTTGGAAGCCCACCCTACTAGAAACAACTTAAATGTTTAAGACAGGTATTGTATTGATTATAATACAGGATGAACATTCCTAATCTCCAAATCCAAGGTGCTCCCAAATCTGAAACTTTTTGAGTACAAACATGATATGAAAAAATGGAAAAGTCCACACCTAGCCTCATATGATACATTGCAATCAAAACACAGGTGCACTAAAAATATTGTTTAAAATCATTTTCAGGTTATACATATTAAATGCATGTGGAACATAAATGAATTTCATGTTTACATCTGAGTTCCATTTCCAAGATACCTCATTAGATATATGTATACATTCCAAAATCCCTAAAAAGCAAAGATCTGCAGATCTTCTGGTCCTAAGAATAAAGTATACTCAACCTATAATATGTATTTGAGATAATTACTTTGATTGGTGGGCCAAGGACGACAGCTGTCATGATCTACATACATCTTTTGGCAACCAGACTCTATCCTTTCTATTTCCTTAGGAAACACATAGGATTCAAAATAATTAAGCCAGGGGCTGGATTTATGGCTTGGTTTCAAACACTGCCTAGCATAAGGAGACCCTGGGTTAGATCCTTCACAGGGGAAAAACAACAACAACAAAATAGCAAGATAAATGAGGTAAACTTGGAGACTTGCAGAAAATGCCTATAGTCCCTGACTCTGTAGCAAATCATCTGTCACCACCTGCTCCTATTCCAGTAGCCAAGTCCAGTCCTTGCAGCTCAGGGTTCTACTGAGGAAGGCTGTGACCTCAGAGGGACATTTCCAGATCATTAGTCATATTACAACTTTGCCTTCCATATTCCTTCTCTACAAACAACTTAGGCCTACTTCAAGGAATTTAGAAGAAATAGTTAAAAGTTATATAAATGTTCATTATTTTATCAGAATCTACACCTCTTTCTAAGGAGTTTGTAGGCAAAGTAGAACTTATTGGCTGAAGTAAAGAGATTAAAAACTACTGATAATATTTAAAGCCACCCCATGTACTACAAATCATGTTTCATCTCAGTTTACCAAAAATCTATGAAAGTAAAAGCATGTCAGTATATAGGTTTCCAGACCTAGCTAGGTTGGATGGGTAAACCAGCATGAATCACAGAAATGTTAAGTTTTTACAGTAGGAATAGTTACTACCTGTATGGTAGCCATTTATCTCCCTTTCCCACTATCCACCCATTTCCTGCTCAGCCAATGGGCAGTGATCAATTGATCTCAGGGGATGTAGATCTTTCCCCAGTTCCAGAGAATAAATCATAACTGCTTTCTTAGCCAAAGTGTAGAAATTTGGGGCAGGGCAAAGAAACAACATTCAGTAAATTAAGGATTTAGTAAGTTGAAAGTCTAGAATAAAAGTATCAAGCTTAGAGAAAAAGAGGGAGCAAGAATACAGTATGTTTTTGCATTTTAGAAAATTAGAGATTCTTATCAAATAAATACATAAAGGTTAATGTTTTCCTTCAACTAGGGAAGTTTAATTACATAGAAGTAAATGTGTTTGACCAGACTGGTATGTACTTTGAGGTCAGTACTGATAATCTCTAAACCTTCTAAACCTCTTTGCATTTTGAAGTAAGCTAGTTATCTAAAGAATAAACACAGGCACCATTCAAGGCTTTACCTAGCTGTTTACATTGATTGTGTCTCATTTAATAGATGACTAACTTTCTAGTCTTTTTGCATGGAAGAAGACCATGGGTACCCATGGATCATATTTGAACATATTGAACTCTTATCATTAGAGAGATATGGGTATTCATATATTAATCAGTGATTATAGATCCTCATATGCATCTGTCCAGTCATGGTAATAAAAGCAAGTTAAACATTTTTTAAAGAAGTGGCCACATTTTAGATCATGGCAGCAGAAAAGTCAATGTGGTACAGGCTCCAATATGGAAATGTCAATCATCATTCCTTTGTATACCTCCAGTTCCACATCTGTGAAATGAAACCATTCTTGTTCTAAGCTTGCAAAAGAAGCATGACAATGTTGGAGTCAGACAGGCATTTTCTGCTGATCAGTCCATAGTGTTCTTACAAGAGAATGAAAGCAAAGAGACCATGAAGACAGTGCCCAAGGAACTTACCAGTCTGTATGTAGGTAGAAACAGGTAACATACTAATATGAGAATTTTTTTTCTAAACTAAACTTAATTCAAAACTAGGATGATTTTGTTATTGTATGTTATTTGTTAATTGTTTAAAATAATTGCTCATTGTAGTTAAATAAATTTATTTATTAGTATTTAAAACTTACTGGAGACCAGTTTGAAATGCAATTTAAATATGTAATGTTTTTCAATTAATTTTATGTTTCTCAGCAAAAGAATTCAACTTAATTAAGACAGACAAGTACATTTCACAGTTGACAATGTGTTTTATTAAGAATTTTTGCTCTTGGCTTTGTTTCTGCTGACGCTGAACTTCCTTAAACATGTTATTATTCTTTCATTAGACATAAAAATTTGAGAAGCTGGAGTACTTTTCAGTACTCCCTCATTATTACTTTTTTATTGTTTTGTACTTTTTTTCTCCTTTCTAAATTTAATAGCTTTTCTAACTTTTCCTTTTTCTACCTATACAATACTAAATTCCTGTACTTTTCACTTTTCTAGAATATGTATTTCATGTATACGAATCTTCTGTATATTTACTTAGTTACCAGAAAACAATGTGCCCCTTATACCGATTTTATAGATTTACTTGAGTAGCTAAAATACAAAACTGGCTCAGGATTAAGGCCCATCTGTTTACCCAAGAGAGTAGTTTTGACTCCTATTGTGTGTACTCCTAGTGAGGACATAATCTATGCTTCTACATACTTTCACAAGCTTATTCAATAGTTGTATTGTCCTGTACACACAGAATGTGAAGTCATACAGTTCAAATATGCTGAGCACAAAAGCTCCATTAGGTTAATTATGATAATTATAAGCACCTCAAAACGATAGCAATTATTATCTAGTATTTTTTTTTTTTTTTGGTCTTGGTTGTTTCAAAATCACTCCCCTCCTCCACACACACACACACACACACACACACACACACACACATACACACACAGGCATACCAAAGGCCAAGTAGAAGTTTTCATTTTCACAAGAAAACACACAGAAAACCCCACTTTATTTTGATCATCAGATCAGACCCCATGGCACTCTACTCTGGAAAGTTTCGACCACTGCCATGTGGATGCAGCAAAGAACATACCACAGCAAGTACTCAAAAAAATATCAATCAGGTTAACATCTGAAGCAGTTTTCATATGCCTTCCAGTAAGCACTGGAATTCTGCATATGAACAGTTATGTGATTTGGCAGCAGCAATTAATGAAAGAATCCAAGAAAAATGGCACTTATAATGATCACATTTCGGCGCAGAAGAACAGCTCCATGCCCAATCTGTGGCCACAATTTGGACACAGGGAGAGCTGAATGGATCGTGACAGAATACAAGGGCAAAAATAAAACCAAGCATAGTTCAGGTCCTGAATTTGTGGTGATATACATATCCCCAAATTATCAAACACAATGAACAGCAATACCTGGCAATTTGTCTCCAAATTAAGGAAAAAGCCCCCGACTCTCACCTTGCACAAACACACACTTCAGTGGTCAGTGACAAATGCAGGCTGGGAGACAGAGCAGCTGCTCTGTCCTGAGCTGCTTAAAGCACATTCGAGCCCGGCTCAGGTCCTACTCTGTGTTTGCTCACTGCAGTTTCTCCCATGACTCCATCACCCAGGAATGGAAACCACCGGCTCTCTCCCAGCCAGCGCTAGTGGGCTCCCCAGCTACTGAGCTCAGGTAAAAATGCTGAGTTCTGCAAGGTCACCACAAGGTGAATAAAATCAGAATGACTGTACGGGGGAGAGGAAGGGCTGTCAAGGAAAGACCCTAAACTCCAGACACCTTGCCTTTCAAGAAATACCAAATTCCATAAATTAGAGCTGGGACAATAGGAGGTCACAGAAGCAGTAAATCTGAGAATCTCACATGGCATTGAGCCAACCAGCTAACCCCGGGGCATTCATTAAGCAATAATCTCTCTCTCCTTCTCTCTCTCTCTCTCTCTCTCTCTCTCTCTCTCTCTCTCTCTCTCTCT